AAAAAAAAAAGAAAATCAAGAGTTTTGAGGAGTAGGAGGAAATAACCAGTAATGTCATCTGCTTCCTGGCTCGGGGTGGCGGACCAGGTATCATTAGCTGTGTTTACTTCCTCCCCCCTCTAACGTCCTCATGTTCTGGGAGGACACTCGTGTTCGTTCACACAGACCTGGACATTTTTATAACCATTGTATCTGGTAAATGATAACTTTATATTCGAGAGAAAAGAAGTTAAAGAGGCAGAAAATGAATTATCCTTGTGAATTTTTTCCTAGAATATTCTCTGATAGGGCAGTGCCTGTGGCTCAAAGGAGTAGGGCACTGGCCCCATATGCCGGAGGTGGCAGGTTCAAACCCAGCCTTGGCCAAAAACTGCAAAAAAAAAAAAAAAAAAAAATGCTCTGATAAACTTAGAGCTACAGTCTCAGTGGAGTAGCTGTTTTTTACAGCAACAATAATAGCTAACCCATGGTGCTAAGTATGGGCCGGGCATTGTTCTAAGTGCTTACCTGTATTAACTCAGAATCAGCTGTATCTTAGGTAAAGAAACAAAGCAGTGGAGGCCTATAAAGTATCCAAGTTAGTAATAAATATGGTTTTATAATAGTTCAACTTTTAATTGCTGCAGTGTATTTTTTAAGAAATCAAGGTAGTGTTTTTCTGATCACCATTATGTGAATTAGCTTTTATCACGGGCTCAGAAGTCTCTTCAAAGAAGAGGAATAAATGCGCTTCAGAAATAAAGCAATGTGGTATTAAGCATGTAATATAAAAATTAATGTTCTTTTGTGTGGTATAATTAAACTCTACAACAGAACAAGTTCTGCAATTATATAAATTCAGAAATGAGACTGACTTCTGACTTACACAACAGAGAATCTCTGTCAGTTCATTAGCCTCTTAATTATGCAGCTGTGTGTTGCACCAGCTGGGTATTTTAGACTCCTTTATACTGTTCTGTTGGATTTTAATCTATTGTTGTATCTGAATCTAAGGTACCCTGTGCACTGTACACCTCTGAGGGGCACCGTTCACAGAGAGTTGCATAGTTTGGCAACTCTGTAGCCATCTATTCAGAAATTTTGATAAATCTAAAAATAGTAGAAACAAACTATGCTATTTGAAGGTTAACATGATAAAAGACTTGCACTAGCACAATTTTTTTGCTACTTTTTTCCCTGAAAACAAACCCAGATATTAAAGTATATTTAATTATCTTTGCAGGAGAGGAATTGCTTTGGCTTCCTTGGGAGGTCCAATTTATGCCATTGGGGGACTCGATGACAATACTTGCTTCAATGATGTGGAGAGATACGACATAGAATCTGACCAGTGGAGTGCAGTGGCGCCAATGAACACTCCTCGTGGAGGAGTTGGCTCTGTGGCTCTAGTAGTAAGTCATGTGGCAACTCGCCCATTGAATTACTTTGCGTTACATCCATTACCAAATAAGGAAACGTCCAATATATTCATCTCATCAGTATGAAGATATTTTATACCACATTGCTTAATGAAATACTGCTTTCTTGTACCTTCTGGTCTACCTTTAGGATAATATATCAGTAAATTCAGAGTCTAACATATCAGTAAATTCAGAGTCTAACATCATGTGTTTTTTTTGTCTCTTTTTATTTAGAACCATGTTTATGCAGTAGGTGGCAATGATGGAGTGGCTTCTTTATCTAGTGTGGAAAGGTATGACCCACATCTGGATAAATGGATAGAAGTTAAAGAAATGGGTCAAAGAAGAGCAGGCAATGGAGTTAGTGAGCTTCATGGTTGCTTATATGTTGTTGGTGAGTGGATAGTATTTCTCTAGTCTAATTATCAAAATATACAATGATAGCTGTCATACAACAATACAATAGCCAGGTGTGGTGGCTCATGCTTGTAATCCTAGCACTTCAGGAGGACGAGGTGGGTGGATTGGCTGAGTTCAAGAGTTCAGGAGTTCAGGAGTTCAAGACCAGCCTGTCCAAGAACAGGACTCCATCTCTAAAAAATAGCTGGGCATTGTGCAGGGTACCTATAGTCTCAGGTACTGGGGAGGATGAGGCAAGGGGATCACTTGAGCCCAAGAGTTTGAGGTTGCTGTGAGCAAAACTATAGGTGCTTGCCACAATGCCCAGCTATTTTTTTGTTTGGCTGGCCTGGGCCTGGTTTGAACCTACCAGGCTTGGTGTGTGTGGCCGGCACCATAACCTCTGTGCTATGGGTGCTGAGCCGTGAATGCTTTTTTTTTATACATATGTATTTGTAAAATTTTGGTCTGCTGTAGTAGCTAACACCTATAATCCTAGCACTCTGGAAGACTGAGGTGGGTAGATTGCTTCTGCTCAGGATTTTGAGACCAGCCTGAACAAGAGCAAGACCCTGTTTCTTAAAAAAAACACTAGCTGGGCATTGAGGTAGGCTCCTGTAGTCCCAGCTACTTGGGAGACTGAGGCAAGAGGATCACTTGAGCCCAGGAGTTTGAGGTTGCGGTGAGCTATGATACCATGGCACTCTACCCAGGACATCAAAGTGAGACTCTGTCTCTAAAGAAAAAACAAAAAAGAACACTTTGAAAGTATGGACATGTCTAAGAACTTTAATTGCATTTTGTTTTTTCTATTCCTTTGCTTTGAATTTATTATTACTATACATTTATATGTGTAATCTTGGGAAATGATAGCTAATCAATAAAAAAGGCAGCTATGGAAAATATTGTAACTGTTAAAAACTGAATCTTCTTCATTAGCATGAGCAGTAGTTAAAACCTTTATTATAATGAAAAAATATTTAATATCATGGTTGTGGTAGATGATACTTCCTGAAAATATGAACATAAAATTGGTGAATTTTGTTTTAATCAAATTTATTTAATAAAATTAAACCCACTGGAGAAGTTGATTTTTTTTAACTTGTCCTTGTTTTTAAATAGACTGATTATAATAATATCAACACTTTCTGTTCTCAGGAAAGTAAGCTGAGTCACCAAAGAGCTATTACTCATTTAAACTTAGAGGGAGTCTATAAAAAGATACATTTATTTTTAAAAGAAAGAACACCATGAAAATAACACTCTCGGCCTGGTGTGGTGGCTTACACCTGTAATCCTAGCACTCTAGGAGGCCAAGGTGGGTGGATTGCTGGAGGTCAGGAGACCAATCTGAGCAAGAGTGAGACTCTATATCTACTAAAAATAGAAAAACTAGTTGGGCACTGTGGCAGGCACCCTGTAGTCCCAGCTGCTTGGGAGACTGAGGCCAGAGGATTACTTGAGCCCAAGAGTTTGAGGTTGCTATGAGCTTTCATGCCACGGTACTCTACCAAGTGTGACAAAGTGAGACTCCATCTCAAAAAAAAAAAAAAAAATTACCCAACAGTTTCTATATTTAACCTTCAGGATTATATTAAGTACATCGTTAGAATCTGTAGAAAAGATTGTCATCATCTGGAATATGTAGCAGGAAAATGTAGTTTTAGCAAAAAACAGTGCGATTTCAGTCATAGTCCATCATCTCTAATTATAATGGCAATTATAGTATTAAGGGAAACAATTGGAAAACTTTAACATACAGCTAGATGAATCATATGACTCAGTGTCGTTATTTCTCTTCTCAAGCCTTCTTACTATTTAAAAACATAGTCTAGGCCTGGGGCTCATGCCTATAATCCTAGTATTTTGGGAGGCCAAGGCATTGGAGGATTGCTTGAGGCCTTGAGTTTGAGACTAGCCTGAGCAAGAGTGAGACCTTGTCTCTCTAAAAAAAAGTAGAAAACATAGGTAGGCACGGTGGTATGTACCTAGCCACTCCCAGGAGTTGGAGGCTGCAGTGAGCTATGATGATGCCACTGATAAATGTGTATTCTAGCCTGGGTAATGGAGTGAGACACTGTTTCAAAACCAGCAAACAAAAAGATAGTACACAGAGAAGGAATTTTGGTACTGTCCTACTTGGGACTAAGGACAAATTATATGACTGTATGTGTTTTTTTCTTAAATTATCTGCTTCAATACAAGGACTATAGTTTTTCTCACTTCATGATTTTTAATCCTGGTATTGAGTTAAAATGTTACTTATATTACCTTAAGTTGAATTGTAGACAATTTCTAATAATGGTGGTGGTGGTGGTAGATAAATGTTGGGATGTATTTTTTTCTAAGACATTTGAAAATGGTTTTAAAAGATGAAGTTGTAAAAGCTACTTGAGATTTACTAGTTAATATCTGTGGAGTGTGATGCTATTTTTAAAATGTTTCTTCTTACAGGTGGTTTTGATGATAATTCCCCTCTGAGTTCAGTTGAGCGGTATGACCCTCGAAGCAACAAGTGGGATTATGTGGCATCACTGACCACTCCCAGGGGTGGAGTGGGGATCGCAACAGTGATGGGCAAAATCTTTGCTGTTGGTGGTCATAATGGCAACGCATACTTAAACACAGTGGAAGCATTTGACCCAGTGCTGAATAGGTAACTTACCCATTTTCTCTGTGCTTCATGGTATCTTCCAGTAATAGATTACTTCAGAGTGTTAAAATACTGCTAGTTGTAGTTGTTACTACAAAACTTTGGGATATCTTATCTCCTTCTGGAAGCTTGCTTATCTTTCAAAACCAGTCCAACAATGGGGAGTTTTCTGTCTTTGACTGGTATTTGGAGTCAAGTAAATGATGCTTTGTTTTAAGATAATGTTCTTTCTCCTCTGGCCTTTCAGGTGGGAGCTGGTCGGATCCGTGTCTCACTGCAGAGCTGGAGCAGGAGTGGCTGTGTGTGCCTGTTTAACTAGCCAGATTCGAGATGTAGGTCATGGCTCCAATAATGTGGTTGACTGTATGTGATTCAAGTTCCAGCCACCAACACAGTCAATCATACCTGATAGCCAAGAAATAAATGAAGATTTTGATATGATTACCTTTGAACAGTTTTAACTACAACTAAAGTCTTATTTAAGTGTTAAGTGTTGTATGGTGATTAAGTACAACTTTTGGAATGATAGCTAAAGAAATTATTAGTAATAAAAATTGAATTTGATAATTCCTGCTTTAGCAAATTATAGAGTATGAAAGGAAAACAGTCCAACTTAAAACACCCTGTCTGCTCCAAGAAATGCTTAAAGGAATACCAAAACTTTGAAATCTTAGTTGTTTTTTTTTTAATTTGGAAGACTCAAAATGTAATTGGTTGAGTTTTACCTTTTCTTTTGCCTAAAGGTGTTCACCCTAGGTAGTTTTCCTAGGGGGAGATTAGAACCTGTTCACTAACACAGACACAGAAGAGACTGCTCCTTTTGAAGATCATTTCCACTAGGTGCTGATGAATTTATGCCTTGCTTTTTTTTGCCCTCGGTGTCAGTTTTTGAATTTCTTGGGATGTTTACAGAAGTAGAAAAATGTTTAGTCTTTTGAGTGCCACTGGCTGCATTTTTAGAAGCTTATAAGAGTGCTGTAAGACGTCTTTATAGTTTCAGTTTGAATTGCCAGGGCACCAAAGGACCATTCAGAAGAGTCTGTAGTTTTATTTTTTTCATCTCATGCAAATTGTCTTTCATAAGAAGCAAAAAGTTAACAAGAGGAAATTTTAGAGAACGTTTTAGACTTGCTCCTACTCTCGTGCCTGATTGAGAGATCTTGATAAGGAATGGTGCAATGAGAGTCTTTAATAGAGGGAATCTGAAAAGAGCCTTGAATGCTCTTCTTGGATCATTTGATTTTGAACGCAGGATTTGTTATCTCTTTATTTGGTTATTTGCCACCATCCAGGTTTTCCTCTCTGTACAGAGATTGGATTTCATGTTTATTACCAGAATGTGAATACATTTTTATAAAAATCCTTTAGGGACTGCCATTTATTGATTAGTTGAAGCCTATCATTAACCAATAAAGCATATTGTTGGTAAAAACAGAGAAAGATTGAAACTACTGTTTTTCTCATTATATTTAATTCCTTCTAGGGTACTTACTGAAATTTAATTGAAAATATTTCAATATGTTAATTTGAAGCCAGGATATTGATGCACCTACTGATTTAACAGCTTTTCATGGTTTTAACCAGCATTATAAAATGGCCTATTAAATGTATATATTTTTATAAATATTTATTAAGAACATTAAAATATCCTATTTTGTATTTGCTGTGTAGTTTGGAACCTCTCTTCCAGGACTTCTTAAGTTTTCATTTAGTTATGCCTTACAACTTACTGTAGTTGACTCCTGGTGGGTTACGTTTTATAAGGAAGCTGGGGCAGTGAAAAATACTTTCCCCATCCATCCAGCCCCGAAGTTCATTGACTGATGGCTCCTCCAGTCTCATCATGTGGGATCCTGCTTGTATGTATGGCTATGTCAAACCATAAAAAGAAAACATTTTAAGAGGGCTCAGGCTGGCAGATAAAAGTCTTTTGTAAAGTAGATTTAAACTTTCCCAAATTATGCTATTAATTTTTTTTCTGCTCTTACCTATGGGCAGATTCATTAAGTCATTGCTGGATCTGAACCAATGGTCTCTTGTATAAATACAACCATATTTCAGTCAGTTCCCAAAACATTTAACTCTGTAGCACTTACTGGACTGGCTGTCAGTGGCTGGATGTGGAGAATAAGTCTCAAAACCTGGCTTCAATTGTCCATTTTTCTCATGTCTAATTGAGTTCTGGTATTAGAATGCTTGTTTAGCTATAGTTACTAGGATGTTTATTGTATTTATTTTCAGGGGGGAGGATCTTATTTCCTGAGATTATTTAAACATTTTTTTCTTTAATATTTCTGCCTTTGTTATGTATATAGAGCAGGGACTGTGGGTATTATGTTTTCATTACTGGGTTTTATAATAGAGTGGTGCACTAACATACTAAGTTGGATCCCTGGCCACCCATGAAATATGAAACATTCATAAGGACAGTAAAATGAAGTAAAGGGAACATCTGGTGGTCTGTTACACGAGGTATGAGCAATCAGAAGGACGGGCTTGAAGGACTGACAACAGTATGGAAACATAAATAGCAGAATCAGTACGTACAGTCTCTTTATTGGATAAAAACTCATTTTTTGAGATATAAAATGAAAATCAGGCTGAAGGAATCATGCAATTGAAAAATGATTATATTCATAGGAGTAAAGAGATGTAATATCCAAACATTTAAACAAGATGGCTACTTGATTATGAGGCCTCTCACTTTAACCTCTGATATTAACAGCACCTACCAAAAAGTGATATAAATAGAGCTAAAATATTGAAATTGTAAACGGAAAAGAGAAGCAGTGGGAACTTGCATATTTCTTGAAGACATATTTCTAGGTGCGTTTGTGTGATCCTCTCATGTAAACATAAAAGCCACTGCTTACCATACTGCACTGCCACTTTAGAAACCAATTACTTGACTTTGTTTTTGACTAAATTCTCTATATTATGTAACTGATTCATTCTAAAATATTTGAATAAACGCTGTACTCTCTCTAAGGAGTACTCATTCTCTTAATTCCAAAATGAACAATTTATAATGTTGTTAAATGCCTAGATAAAGGATTGTTGAAACTGCATAAACTATTCTTGAAAACAGTAAACTTGAGAATTTCCTTTGCTGCTTTTTTCTATTATGTCTTGTATGATAAGAAGAGAATGGATTTAAAATATAATTCATATTTTGTCAGGTAAGAATGTATCTGTGGTTTCTCATATGAGACTTAAAGAAATTCTCATCAGGATGTCATTGGCTATGTCTTTTCCCCCTTCATGTGAAATTACAAGTGGCAATAAAACTTCCCTATAATATTTTCTTAAAACCACTTATAAATTTGTATTGTAATACTCTGGCAAATCAAAGTAATAAATAATCGTATGTACTACCAAGTGCTGATATCAAAGAGTTGGGGTCACATCAGTGCTGTTTAATAATTCACACTATACTGCAGGTATCTTTTAAGCAGGACGTCTTTCTGTGTGGTCTTTGTAAATTTGCTTCTCTGTATTTTATTGCTGTAGAATTACATTAAAACTATGTAATTGTTTATTCCCTATTACTCAAATACAAAATTGATTTAGTAGGTTGGCTATAATACTTTTTCCTTACATAAAAATATTCTTGTGTACGTGAAAATAGAAAGTTATTTGTTACCCTTACAAAAATTAAAGGTTAACGCCAATTGATGTAAGTAGTTTTACTAATCTTAAGCAGTTGTCTTTTCAGTGATTTCAGATTTGGACTATATAGAAATTAGCTTGTGCATTAAAATAACTGTGTTCCTTCGAAGTAGTAACCTAGATGAAGCAACAGCTTTTTTATAAGCAGTGTTGCCATTGTTAAAAACTTTCCTGGAACTTACCTTTGAAAACAGCCTGAACAGTTCATTTGTACGTCACGCACAGACATTTAGTCTCATCATAGTTGTATGTTAGTTTTGACCAGAATCTGGCCGGGGCAGTGGCTTTACGGCTGGAATCCCAGCACTTTGGGAAACTGAAGTGGGAGGATTGCTTGAGCCCAGGAGACCAGCCTGGGCAAGATAGTGAGACTCCATCTCTACCAAAAAAATCATAATTATGGACCAGTACACTTGGTATATAAGACTTGATTCAAAATTTGACTTGATTCAAATTTGAAGACTTGATTCAAAAAAATTTTATGACTATTTTCACAGGTGAAATCTTCCCTCAAAGAATTAAGGTTTTCCACCACT